TATAATTCATTATTTATCAGTTGATAAATAAAATTATTTTTTGTATTATTTATTCTAAAATAATTATTTATAGGATAGTTACTAATGTTTTTTTATATATTTTGATTTTTTTTTGTAAACCTTCTATATTTTTATCAATATTCAAAGGAATTACAAAACCTAAATCTAAATTTTTAATAAGATTATTATACTTTTTTATGTTTTTTATCTACTTTAAAAGTAGGATTAGAAGTAAATGTTGTAATAGAAGAGGTTGAAATAGAAATAGAAGTAAAAGTAAAAGTAAAACTAGAAGTAATAAGTTTATTTAGATTACCATTATTACATGATGCTATAATTTTCATTTTTTTATTAACTAAAGGATCTGTTAAAAGAATTAAACAATCTAGTATCTGTTTTGCTTTTGTAAAAGTCAAATCAGATTTAGTTTTTGATACCAATTAATGAAATTGTTATGATTTTATTTAATTTTTAAAAAATAGTATTAAAAAAAAAAAAAAAAAAAATCTTAATTTATAAAAAAATTAAAAATTGATGATTTTCAATTTCTCTTAGAGAATCCTGGATTCCTATAGAGAATCGTTATTTTTGATATGTTCCTATAGTGAGTCTGCCAAAATAACAAATTCTCTTAGAGAATTGTTATTTTTGACGTATTCCCATAGTGGTTCTGCCAAAATAATGATTTCTCTTAAAGAATTATCAAATTTGGTGGATTCCCATACAGTATTCGTCAAAATAATAATTTCTCTTAGAAAATCATTACTTTTAACCAGTTCCTATAGCATATCTGCCAAAATAATGATTTCTTTTAGAGAATCGTCAAATTTGACGAGTTTTCATAGAGGATTCGCCAAAATAATGATTTTCTTTTAGAGAATCATCATATTTAGCGGGTTCCTATAAAAGTTCACCAAATTAATGAATTCTCTTAGAGAATTGTTATTTTTGATGGGTTCCCATAGCGGGTCTGCTAAAATAATGATTTCTCTTAAAGAATCGTCAAATTTGGCAGATTCCCATATAGTATTCGCCAAAATAATGATTTTTATTTAGAGAATTGTTACTTTTAACCAGTTTCTATAGTGGGTCTACCAAAATAACGATTTCTCTTAGAGAATCATCAAATTTGGCGAGTTCCTATAGAGAATTCGCTAAAATAATAATTTTCTTTTAGAGAATCATCATATTTGACGGATTCCTATAGAGAGTTCGCCAAAATAATGAATTCTCTTAGAGAATCGTTATTTTGACGGGTTCTCATAGTGGTTTTGTCAAAATAACAAATTCTCTTAGAGAATCATTATTTTTAGCGGGTTCCTATAGTAGGCCTGCCAAAATAATGAATTCTCTTAGAGAATCATTATTTTTAGCGGGCTTCATAGTGGTTCTGCTGAAATAACGAATTCTCTTAGAGAATTGTTATTTTTAGCGGACTCCTATAGTAGTTTCGCCAAAATAATGAATTCTCTTAGAGAATCATTATTTTTAGCGGGTTCCCATAGTGTGGTGATATGTATTTTATGTTTTCAATGGTAAAAAATTTGATTGGAAGCTTCCAATCCAAATAATTTTATTAATAAATTGTGCTTCCAAACCTTCTAAAGGTACTTCCAAAGGTTTTTCCAATCTTCTATCACTGTCATAGTGGGTCTACCAAAATAACGAATTCTCTTAGAGAATCATTATCTTTAGCAAATTCCCATAGTGAGTCTGCCAAAATAACGAATTATCTTAGAGAATCGTTACTTTTAACCAGTTCTCATAGCGGGTCTGCTAAAATTACGATTTCTCTTAGAGAATCATCAAATTTGGTGAGTTCCCATAGAGAATTCGTCAAAATAATGATTTTCTCTTAGAGAATTATTATTTTTTAATGGTTTCCTATAGTGGGTCTGCTAAAATAATGAATTCTTTTAAAGAATCGTTATGTTTAGCAGTCTCTCATATTAAGTTTGCCAAATAATGAATTCTCTTAGAGAATCGTTATCTTTAGTGATTTCCCATAATGGTTCTGCCAAAATAACGAATTCTCTTAGAGAATCATTATTTTTTAACAGTTTAGGTTAGACCAATTAAAAAGTTTGTTTAACATAACATATAGAGTCATGTAGATGGGAGGGAACAACAATATAATGTTTTGAACAGTCACGTGATAATACTATGTTTAATATTGTATTCGCAAATCAGATAACATAATATATAAAATTTAACTTGAATTTGTATCATTTTATTATAAAAGAATATTAATCATTAGTATTTCTCTTTCTTTTTTGACTTTTAGCATTAGTATTAGTTTTAACTTCAACCCGTGCAAAAAAATACTTTCCATTACTCTGACATATACTACATAAAGGAAATACAAATTTATATTTTGATGTTATATATACTGGAAAACCTAACAAGTCCTGATCATATTCATACTAATAATATATAGATAGATTATTTTTACGTGATGAATAATAAGCTAACTCAATTGGTGACTCACAAGAAATTTTTTTACGTACAAATAAAACATTATAAAGTTCATGACTTTTAGGTATAAAAGAAGATCCACAACTATAATCCCAATCATCTAAAATGTATTTAAATAAAAGCTGTTGTGTATTATTCAATGCCTTTTCACTATAAAGACACTGAAATTTTCTACATTGAAAACGTTGAATAATATTACGAACTTTTATATTTGCAAAAATAGTTGATGATGCGCGTTCAAAATTTTGAATAACTTCTATTAATGTAGAATGATGATGTTCTGTAGTTTCTATACCATACATACTTTTGAAATCAGCATAATGATTATTATCTACTATTAAATAATTATATAATATAAAATATTGAGTTTTTATTACATTTAAAATTTATTAT